GTATACTATGTACATTTGTGATCCTAAAACAAGATATTCGCATTTTTTATATATATGCTCCGAATGCATTTCCAGTTAGTTCCGTTTTCCGTGTCCGTTATAGTACGTCATTGCTCTTTAGTTTTTAGTTTGATTTGTAGTTGTCCAATCTTTGATTGCATACTCAATAATGTTGTTTTATTTCTGATACATTTTTGTGTTATTCATCCCAAGTAAGGACTAACGCAGTTGATTTCTGTAGGGAAAGTGTGAATATTGGAAAATGTTAGTATAGAGTAGTATATTTATTGCAATAAATATGCATTAATTTAAATAGTATGATCAACTTATATCGATATATGTACATATGTAACTCCAAAACAAAAAATGAGCAAATTTAGCTGTGCCAATGCAAAGCTAAAAACGCAATAAAAAAATTTTACTGACAAAAATTAATTATTACGTTAACTTATGTGGCTTTAATTTAGAGAAAATTGTAATACATAAATATCAGAATATACCAATATATGCACATGTACATTGTTTTACATAAAATTTAAGCTGCAACAATTTTTATGCCGTTCAGCAGTTTTCATGTAAGGTTATTTATACACATTAAATACTAAGAATACCGAATGAATTTCGTAATTGCATTAGTTCATTTACAGAACTATATATACATACATATATAAGTAACTAGTAGACAATAAGGAATATAGCAAATATAATATAAGTAGAAGTATACTAACTTTTGAAGGGATATTGTCAACAATTGTGACAATTACATAAATTGCCTAAAATTAAGCATTACACAAATGAAATGTACTTCACATTGACCGCATATTGACGTTGTTCAATCTTGAAAACAAACAAACAAACAAACAATGAATGGCAATCAAGACGCGAACAAATGATGGTACATTTCATCAGAGATAATGTGGCTTAACTTTACTCCAAATGACGCGTAGGTTCGATGCGAGTGAAGTGAAAAAGTGGAGTCGAATGGTAGTAGATTAGGAGTGTACCGAAATGGATTGACACGCATAAATTTGCTTGCTTTGCTGCGTGTCGTAGTAGTTGATGTTGCTGTTGTTGTTGTAGTTGTAGTTGTTTAAAGATGTTGCTTGGTAGAACGATTGAGCGCACGTAGCACGCTGCACGCATTATTTACATATAAGCAGCACGCTACCCACAAAACTGGCGCTTTTATTTATGTATGTTTTCCTTTTCTTCAGTTTTTTATTTTTTTATTTTAAAACTTAACGCATACTATAAAACGTTCTACCATACTGGTCCATTTACCTGGGCCTTTGTCTGTTAAAAAAATACACAAAACGAAACAAAAAAACAAATTCAAAATTGACAAATTACACACAAAATGGTGGATAGTTAAACATAAATTGACCTAAATATGTAAGTATGTATATTTATTTGGAATATAAATACAAATATGCTGAATATGGGGGCGGCAATACAATTTAATTATGGTTTTTGTGGTTGTTTTTTTTGTAATTGTTGGCAACTTGTTATGCTCTAAATTTATATACATACAAGCGAGCAGCAATTGCTACACTATTTGTTGATCAAGTATGAATTGTTATGTACATATGCATTTATTTTTAATTTAGCGGCAAGCATTCAAGGTCTGTCGGCCATTCTCTGTGTCAGGCGATGCGGTGCGTTCGGTAAGCTGAAGTAGAGCCTCATAATGCATAATTTAAAATTTGGCTTTCTTTTGAAAATAAAGCGAATCGAGGCAATGCATCAGCTAAGACTCGTGGGACAGTCTTTACAGTGTGTTTCAAAATAATGCAAATGAAACAAGTGAAGAACGTCAGCGGATGGACGGACAGACAGACATGGCATTAGCATTCTGATATATAAATTAATAATGAACAATCATAAAGCAAAACGTTCTCTATCTTCTAGAAGTATTAAAATGCGGGCCCAAGGGGTTTTAGAGTTTAAAAAATTAAAGGTAAAAACTTTTGTAAAGCACTCATGTGTTTTCATTTTATCGAACAAAATCTGCGCATTATTTTAAAGGACAGTCCTTTATTTTAACCCCCTGTCCTTTATAATTTTTTTCAAAATAAAGACGCTTTTTGTCCTTTATTTCTTAAACTGTCCTTTAAATCAGCTCTACATTTTTCTGAGGTAAATTTTTAAACACAGAAAAATAAAAATAAAATAACCCCACTTAAGGATTTTTATTTAATAGGTCATCTTTGCACAATCTATAAAGCATAGGGAAAGTTGTGCCCAAGATCGTGTTGCACGCTGAGTTTCAAGTACCACTGAAAGAGAACAATAAACCCCCTACTGCACAGTGGTTCAAAACTGGCATTTAGTGTTCGTAATTCACTGGAGCCTTCATGTTTTTCACTTAATTTGATAATTTTTTTTATGAAAGCTTATAATATTTGCAAGAGACCAGTTGAGCCTGATTTGTGAATTTTTATTTTATTGTTTTAATTTTTTAGTGCAAAATGCTGGCAATTTTGAAGAAAATGTCTTCTCCTGTTCCAGTTAATAAATTGTACATAACAACGACTAGTTGAAAACAATTGTATGGTTCCCCAAAACATTTTCCACAAAAAATTTTCAGCAAAATAAATTTTTTTTTTTTGTTTTAGTAAAAATTGGTTGAAAAATGAATACTACGGTGAATTATGAACATTAAATTCCAATTTTGAACCACTGTGTGCTGGCTTCGGCGTGCAGTATGAATTATGGTAAACGCATTTTGGCAGCAAAGGATGGCGAAGTCCTTGAAAAGGATTTGGCTTCATTTTTCGGAATCGGTTAATTAACTGGCAAATATCTAATTTAAATTACGATATGGGTAAGGTACTTTAACATATAAGTTGTATGTAAGTATTCCCAAATCATTTAAAAAAAAAGTCCTTTATTTTACGTTGGTTAATATGGTCACCGTAACCACCACATAACCTACTCCTAATTTATATTGAACAAAAATAAGCTTTTATATCCTTTTGTTATGTGAGTAGGCTTCATTGGTCAATTGTTCGCGTGTTTCTTCATTTTTTGCCGTAGATTTCGCTAAACAGCTTAGTATGCTCAAGAACAAATACATGCATTAGTCACTTAAGAGTCTTGTACGGCCATGTTACGTCTTAAATGAATTTTGGCTCCGTTTATTTGCAAGTCCTCGTTCATGACTTTTTTATAGAAATGGTAATTTGGTCTTTGATGGCCTCTAACATTCAGTTTAAATGGGATTTTCATCCGAGTTAGAATGGCGATGCATTACCGATGACGAGGTAAGTAAATAGATGACCGGACTAGTTTTACATGGCAATTATATTCTATGCTTTTTGGGAAAACCCTACTCGAAGAGTAAATTTAATAGTTATATTTCATTATTTTATCACACAATTTCTTTATTTTTCTTTATTTTTACTGATTGCTTTAATTCTTCTAATTCTAATTCGCCATTTTGATCAAATTTTTCAAGGCATTCCGCCGTTTGAACAGCGAGTTAATTTCTTCCCTTTCCAAATCAAGGAAATTCTTATTCATTGTTTTATTTATAAAATATGACAACAAAATATTTGTATTGCGAACTGGAGTGATCGATACAGTTATAAGCCTATTTCTTTTCACATCGACATTTTGCCGATACGATCGATATTTTTGAGCTTCTACGCTTTTTAGCTTTCAGACACATTTGTTCCACCTACTTATATGTATGCAAATGAAAGCAATATATTAACCCAAAATTACGCTCAACGTAATATTTTGAAACGCACTGTAAACTGTCTTCGACCGCATTACATATTCACTTAAGTAACAACATAAATAATTTTGTACTCACCTAAAGTACTGTTCGTGCAGTGACTGTCGCTGGAATTCAGCAGCCTGTAAATACTATATTTATGCAATTAATGATGTTATTTATTTAACAAAATAAGGAGAAACCTGAAGCTGATCGGCGTAGGACATGCGCAGCAAAACATCTGGCTCTCTAGGCATAAGCATACTTGGGCGTGGATATTGACCAACATTCGCTGTTGTTACACCGGACATATGCAAGGAGAAATAAATGAAACGAAAAAAAAAATGTTTGTGAGAAAACATATACGAATGGCCAGTGCGATATGAATCGCTGGCACGTATTTTATATACAAACTCACGTGGCAGTTGAAATCCGGCCTCCGGTGGTTGCGGCTGTGAAGGCAAAGGCAAATGTAAATGAGTATGAGAGTGTGCATGATATTCTCTCGTCAATCGTATCTGAAATTTTAAATTTTCAAAAACGTAGCGAATTGTTTTGAGTGTGTATTTGCAATCGTTTGATTTTTTTTTGGCAAGTTTTTTATTTTTTTATTTGTTGCGTTATTTTTTGAAAAATCGGAAAAAAATATTTCAATGATTGCCATTATGATTTTTTGAAAATGAATACTGGATGCATTTTAAATGTTAAAGCTAATGATTAGTTGTTAATCATGAATTGAATAAAATATGGCGGGCAACGTGGTGCAAAAGCCAATTAAATTTAATGTCTAAGAGTTAACGAGTCCAACAAATGAGTTTACAATGATTAATATGAAATAAAAAATGTATTACAAGACAACATATATACACAAGATGCCTTCGAATTTAATGGCACAAACACTCAGATGAACTGTGGTGAGACATGGCGAGACACAAAATAATTCATACAAACTTACAAACAGACATTAATGCATTAATGAAATAATGGCTTATGCCGAAGTTTCACCAAACATTGAAATGAGAAAAAATTAGCGCCCGTTAAAAATGTGGACAATGACTATTTTTATTGTTATAATGACACGAGATTTTTTTTTTTTTTTATTGGTCAAACTCCGTCATATCAACTTTATCAGTGAAAATACGGCATTAGTGCGTGGAGTTTTAAATTCAATAATTTCTTCAGTTATATTGCGCCTTAGAGGGTTAATCTTTTACATAAAAGTATTGCCAATCATTAAGCTATAAAATTTATTAGACGAATTTNTTATTATAGCGATTTGTGTTTAGTAAATTAACAATGTTTTTAGGCAACTGTACCTCTCTCTACTATACATTGGCCCCATTGGGTGATGATATGGTACCATCTGTTCAACAGGGCTGAAATAATTCAAAAAATACATACGTATAAACTTTAAATTATTTCATGGTGTCGTAATACACAGAACAGTCATATGCAATCGATCTAAACTCAAACTAAGTAAATGTGAAAATGTATAACAAAAAAAAAGTAAGATATACACAAAAAAAAAAGTTAAAGTATTAAAATAATAATTCGATTAAAGTTAAATATGAAATTTTCATGTTTGTATGTTTATGTGTTTAATTCGATAGTGATACGAAAGGTTGCAGTAGTAGCAAATGTTTGCCAAAAGTTGTTTTCAAACAAACCAAAAGATTTAGTAAATTTTATTGCTTTCATTTTTTTTTTTTCAATTTGCCTAGACGCTATTACGTTTGATAGAACTCATCGAAAAACAAAATATTTGGTGCACTGAGAATTCGCATTATTTGCGTAATCGACATATGTCACACCCACCTGAATGCTACATGCGGCCTTGCATACTCGGATAATTGACGCAGCGCTGGCGTGTCCGCGTATGGGGGCTTCAGCTCGGCCTTCAATTTGGCTTGTTGCGCGGCCTGTTGTGCGGCTACCGCTTGTTGCTGCTGCTGTTGTTGCTGTTGCTGTTGTTGCTGCAGGATATGTATGACAAACATTTGAGTATTAAATGTATGTAATTTGCTGTTGAAACACTCACTTGACGTCGCTCACGTTCCTTTTCGGCCAGTTTTCGGTCACGCTCTTCCCGCTTTCTCGCCAATTTGGAATCGGTCACTGGTTTGAAAATCAAATCTGTACGCGTACACGAATTATAATCACCGCGATCGATGTGACGCACAAATCTGCAAATGTGAATAAATAGCTTTGTTAAAAAATATGTCAAATGCTTGTTAAATAGTCATAATTTACATAGCTGACTGCGAGCGATGACATTCGGTATCGTCTGGTTTGGCCTCGGGGCTAGGACCACGCGGTATATTTTGCGTGGGGCTGGGTATTTCCGGCTCTGGATCGGGCTCAATATCGATTGGTACTGCAAATCAGAAAAAATATGTTAATTTATAATTGTAATTAAAGTGAGTGCGCCTGGGCCACACGACGGAAGTGAAACTTTTCTCGATTAATTTATTGCTGCGATTTTTTAGTATCACTTCAAATAAAAAATGCATTAAAGCTAACACTTACATGGCTCTGTTGGATGATGTGGTCCACCCAAATTAGCTGAATGTGCATGTGCTCGCAGCGCATCCATGTGCGTTGTTGGCTTAAGTCCCATTTGTTGGCCATCCTGGAATGGCGAGGAGTGCGGCGGTGGCGGATAACCGGCCAAATGTGATCCCGGATAGCCAGCTGGCGGCAGCCCTGTGGGGTTCGAATGTGAACTGCCCGGCGGGCCTCCGCCACTGCTGTTGTTGCCCTGCGGCGTCTTTGGTGTTGGTGGCTTATTTTGTGCCTGTGCTTGTGCTTGTGCTTGCGCTTGTGCCTGCGCTTGCGCCTGCGCCTGCGCTTGGGCTTGGGCTTGGGCTTGGGCTTGTGCCTGAGCTTGTGCTTGCGCTTGCGCTTGTGCTGCCGCCTGTTGTTGTTGATGCTGATGCTGTTGTTGCTGCTGCTTGATTTGATGTGCTACCACAGCTTGTTTTTCGGCCGCCGCCGCTGCTGCAGCTGCCAACCCTGGATCGTCAGGACGTGTCGGTGGCGGCCCTGGCAAGCCGGGGTGATGCGCGCCCAAGACTGATGCCGGATCAAGTGGACCACCGGGTGGTGGTGGCTTCATATAGGCTGTCGGGAAGCCAGGTCCATACGGACCGTAACCGTAATTGAATGGGTTGTGGTGGTGCGGGGAGTAGAACATCGATGGATGCAAAAGCGGATGCGGATATGGCGACTGACCGGGATGCATGCCTATTTGTTGTATACCAGCGCCTGGCGGAATCAATGGCAATGGCAAGGGCATCTGTGGATGTCGGATGACAGGTGGTGAGGCACCGGGCCGCAAATGTGGCGGCGGTGAAGTGCCTAGTACACGCTGATTCGGCTGTGGACAGTACACCTTGCTCAATGGGCTGGCCATCAGTGTGGAAGCGCTGGACACAGGTGGAGGTGTCATGTGTGGGGACTGTTGTCGTAAGAGCGCATGACGATCGCGCTCTGCCACAGCTGCTGCGGCCGCCGAAAGTGCCGACGATGATGGATGATGGCTGAGTGGGCTTTGCGGTACTGGATGTAGCGGACTCTGCCGGCTCAAACTACCCACACTCGAGGCGGGCGATCCTGAACGATGTGCTCCTTGAGCACCAGGTGTACCGCCGCTGCCGGGCCCGCCGCTACCACTGACATTTGATGGCCCTCCAATGTTTGAATTGGGACCTTGCACGCTTGGGCTGGCGCGACTAAAGGCAGATGATGGCACAGTGTTCGTGCTTAGTGCGCTGCTGGCTGATGTCGTGGTTGAAGACATACTGACGGCAACGGATGAGTGTGGAGGCGCGGACGAGGAATGCGGTGGTGGAATATGCGATGGTGGTGTGCGTCTACTGAGCGCAGACTCGGGCATGCCCGTCAACGAGGGTGGCCCGGCTAGAAGTGCGATTGGGCCAGCGCCTGGACCCAAGCCAGCCATAGAATGCGTCAACATTGGATGCCCAGGGTGACCAACTCCAGCCACGGCAGCATGCGCTGGATGACCGGGTGGCAAGTGCGCCAAATGCGGATGTATGGGCATGGGATGACCAATAAGGCCGGGTGGTGGATTTCCCGGCATACTGGTGAGAGGGGAGCTACGGTGGGCATGCGGCGATTGTTGTGGCAGCATCGATGCTTGCGAAGTGGGCGGGTCACGTGGCTGGCCAGAGGGTGGACCACTATTGACGCCAATTCGCTCCTCATGCAAGTTGCGCGGCTGCGGTTGCTGCGCCGGCGATGGCGTACGCACCGTGCTGGACTGCTGCGATTGCGGAGGCAATTGATGAGTAGGTGGCGGTGGGCCACCGCGCGGATCATGACCTTGCAAATTGAGCGGAATCGGTGCGTGAGGATGCATGCCAACGGGCATATCTGGATGCTGGCGATGTAACTGCTGCATATGGCTGGGCGGGAGGTGTTGGGGATGTAGACCTGAGGGAGCCACCGTTGACAATGGAGGAGGTGCACCGACCGAAGTCTGCGGCATTGATGAAGCAACTGACGACTGTGGATGTGGGCCTTGCATTTGCTGAGAATTGTTGGGAGGCGGCGTCATATGAGGATGATGTAAGGAGCTGGGTGGAGGCCCAGCAGCACCGGGTGGCAGACCAGCGTTCAATTGACCATGCGACAGCGGTCCATGTGGAGATACCAGATTTTGTGGATGCATGCCTGGTGGTAAACCGCCTCCTGCAGGTGAGGGTAAGTGTGGAGATGGGTGCGGTGAGTGGAATTGTTGCTGCTGTGATGAAGGTTGTGAGCTACTGTTACTGCCCTGGCTGTCCTGTCCAGGCGTCGACCGCGAGGATGCGTCGATTGGACTTTCCGATGGCGGATATTTGAGGCCACCGGGTTCACCGGGTGCGCCATATGGAGAGCCTTTGATGAGATTTTCCGCGTATGGCGAGGGTTTCATCGGTCCCACATCGTTTGAGCCCTGCGGCGGTGGGGGATACTTCAAATCTTGTGGTGGACCATACTTGGCTGCCATCGGATCGCCATACTTCAGCATTAGGCTGGACTCAAAAGCTGAACGAGGCATCGGGTGCTGCACTTCATGTTGATAATGGGCCTTCGGCATTGCAATGCCAGGTGGCGGCGTAGCACCGGGTGGTGCACCATGTGTAGGCGGCTGCTGATCTTGTGGAGTGCCGCCACCATACTTCATACCACCAGCGTCTCCCGGTTGGTTTTGTGGGGGTGCGTATTTGCTCTCCGCGTTTGGGATGGGATAGACCATTGATCCCTTCATGTCAGGCATCTTTGTTGGGTCACCAGGAAAACCTTTTGGTGGTTGCTGATGTAACGAGAGGTCACCAGGATATTTGCCCTGTTGTTGCTCCATGGCGAATTTCATGTCGTATTTGCCCGCGGCCGCTGCAGCCGCCGCCGCCGCCGCTGCTGCTGCCTGCATTTCTTGTACTGTGCCGTACTTCATGGCGTGCTCCAATGGCGGCGGGGGATACTTAATATCTTGCATTCCAAACTTGCCACCCTCATATTTGATGCCAGCCGCTGCAGCCGCCGCAGCAGCTGCGGCAGCGGACTCATTGTACTTCAATTCCATATCACCAGGATATTTGTGCGTTGGTGGCGGTCCACCTAATGGCATGCCTGTTGGTGGCGGAGCGTTGTTGTCATTACTAGACATCGATTGTGGCTGCGGTGGTGGGCCATACTTCAGCTGTCCCTCCAACATATAACCGGGTGGTGGTTGTGGACCACCTGGTGGCAGATGCATATGCATATGTGTTGGCGGTGGAGGCGCATCGTTACCACCAGATATGTCATTAGCAGAGGAAACCATTGATGTAGGCGGCATGCCAGTGCTACTTTTGCTCTCTTCGTTTTTGATCTCTATCTTAACTTTCAGATCCTGCGGCTCATTGCTGTTTTGATTGCATGTGGCATCCATGGAATCATCCAAAGGCTCCTTTTTAATGAAAATAGCGGTGTCGTGCATGTTTGCGTTGGAAGTGTTCGGTGGCAATTGCTGCTGCATCGACTCCTGCTTCATATTGGCGATCTTCTTCATCATCTCTTGCTCCTTTGCCATATCAGCGGCTGCAGCGGCGGCGGCAGCGGCGGCGACGGCGGCGGCAGCATTATTTTCAGACACCTCCATCTTCTCTGATTTGTCTTTACGTTCAGTTGACAATTCGCCGCGGCCAATGGAAGCATTCAGCGCCTCTACAGTTGCTATTGTAGGTACCTTCATTGGTGTTGGCGGAGCGCTGGCCACATTCATGCCCTCATCATTTGTATTTGGCGCAGGAGGATCTTTTGCGCCAACGCCGGTACTGTCGTCTGCGGTTGCTGCTATTGCCGTCTGTCCGCTGACAGGCGCTTGGATGTTCGTTTCTTCGTCATCATTCTTGATGGTCTCTTTTGTGTCTTCAGCTGGCTTTTCAGACTTCTCCACTATATCGGCCTTCAAATCNCTCTTTTGCGCCAACGCCGGTACTGTCGTCTGCGATTGCTGCTATTGCCGTCTGTCCGCTGACAGGCGCTTGGATGTTCGTTTCTTCGTCATCATTCTTGATGGTCTCTTTGGTGTCTTCAGCTGGCTTTTCAGACTTCTCCACTATATCGGCCTTCAAATCGCCATCTGCAGCACCACTATCCTCTTTACCGCCTGAGCTATCCTTGCCCTCCTTCAGCGACTGTTCTACAGTATCTGTCGTATTCGACTCAGCGTCATCCAACACCGAATCAGGCCGACTGTCAGAGTTCATGCTCTCCTCAGCCGGACTATCGGGCCGTTTGCGCTTGGCGCTGTCTTTGCTAAGACTGCCATCGTCGGTGACATCGCCGCTGCCGCTGCCGCTGCCACTGCCGCTACCGCCACCACTGCCGGAACCTGCGCTACCGTCCACATCGGTACGCTTCTTCTTGTTCGGCGTATCCTGCTTACCGCCTTTACGCTTATTAGCCGCCACCGTCGTTGTCGTATTGTTTTCGGATGCGTTTGCGTTTGCGTTTGCTCCTTTAGTTGGTGTCTTTGGACTATCTGCAGCCGTCACTGTATCTGGCGTTTCAGTACCACGTTTGGGTCGTTTACCATTCGCTACCTGTTGTGTTTGTGTTTGCTCTTTTATATTGTTATTCTGTTGTTGTTGTTGTTGTTGTTGTTGCTGCTGCTGATTATTGCGTGTCCTCATTCTAGATGGTGATTCATCCCTTTTGTTTGTCAGACTGGAATCGCTGTCGCACTCGCTGATATCGTCCTCGGTTAGAGAACTGTTCTCCTCCTTGGAGACAACGGGCGACGAGCGCGTCGAATCTGCCGCCGCTGACGCCGTCGTCGCCGTTTGTGGTTCCGGTGTATCCTCCTTCTTCGGAGGTGTATTACTAGCGCGTGTGACACGATTGCGACGCAAGGCACTTTGCCGGCGTCGACGATGCGGTCGATTATTATTGGCACCCGGTGTCTTCTTCCACAAATAGTAAAATTCCACCAATTCAGGTGTCTCTTTGTGCGGTAGTAAATCTTTGTGTATTCGAAAGAAATTCTTTCCAAATTGTCGTAAGCCCTTAATGAATTTTTTTGTTTCGTCCTCTGTCCACTTTTTGTCGATACCCTTGGAAACGGGACACTTAACGAGTGCCTGAAGTGCTTTGCCTGGATCGTAACCAGAATCGTGTAACTAAACGAAACAGAAGGAAGAGAAATTAAATACAATTTGAAATTAAAATAGCCGCGAAATAAATAAATATTGTACATCAAAGGTGTCAAAACTCGCGGCCCAACTCGATTTTTTATGCGGCCCGTGCCAAACAGTATGTAAAAAATAACTACAGAAATTATTACCATCAATAAATTTGTAAAAAAAAAAAAAAAAATTTCTCCGGCTTTTGCTGAAAGGTAAATAAAAGCTCAGTGTACATTTTTAGCGCATAATTTCAAAAATGTCAAATTTTGAGTTGTGTCTCTTTCGAAGACAGTGCGCGATATGTGCCATATATAGTTGTATGTAATTAGTAAATAGGAACACAATTCAAATGGAAATATGTAATCGAGATACAGTGCGATTCAGGTCTGCTTGATTGGCAAATACCCGAAAATTGCCGTATGAAATTATTTCCATGTTTGGCAGTACCCATCGGTGTGAGCGACTATTCCCAATTATGAAAGGAAATAAATCTGCTGTCAGATCTACGATTTTTAACGCTCACCTTGCATCTGGTTTGAAAGTAATCACCGCAAACAAATTTTCTCCCGAAATAGGTAAAAAAAAGTAGCAAAGAAAAGATGTCCAATTTCTGGAAGGCTGTCAGTTCGAAAATGCCCTATCTCAGAAAATTTTTAAACAACGCCCAATTTTAGAATTTCATTGAGCACACTTTCAATATATTGTCGTTTGAAACAGGACGCTTTTGAACCGAATTCTGAGATAGAGCTTGGATAGAGCGTTCCTCAACCAAATTCTGAAGTAGGGCGTTCTTGAAAAGTTTTCTGAGATAGCGCGTTTTCGAAGTGGCTGCCGAGATAGGCCGATCTTCCACTCAGCCATCGATATGTATATGATTTATTCCACATTTGGCCCACAACATGATTTTCTTCTTCTCTTTTTAGCCCGTGAGCTTGTTAGAGTTTGACACGCTTGTTGTACATAAATAGGTGTCTAAAGAATGTATTTTGAATGGGCGAAGTTTTCAATCGAGAAGAAAACGAATTTCCGGCTCATTTTTAACGCCAAAGTAATCACCATTGCAATTATCGAAGATTTAAATAGCAATTATCCGGCGTTTCAAGTTAGTGGGGGTGTCTACGGACAAAATAGCGAATAGCGACACAACTAGCTAAAAACACGCTCAATTATTTGACAACATTTACTTGCACGTGGAGAGTTTCAGTTCATAGAAAAAAAATCATTACACTCGCTTATAGCGTGCATAACTATAAATTAAATATTTAGCTAAAAAGAACTGGGTTCAATTGACTTCGAACGAAATTATACATACATATGTATATTTGCAACTAAACGTTCAAGTCCAATTAATTTACGTCACGATCGCGGGTTTTAGTGATAAAATATTAAGGTGGTCTCAAAAACTTTGGCATTTCATCTTTTTAACCTACTTCGAAAAAAATAAGACGGATATTAATTCGTCGGAATAATTTTTTATGTACGTATGTTCGCGGATAACTTTGGACCTTGTGAACGGTTTTCGATAATTACTTTTTTAAGAATAATTTTTGATATGGAAACTGCCGACATTAATTGCTTAAACAGTTTCGCGTTAAAGTCAGTTGTAGTCAGCTGTTCAAGCACATGAGTGTGGTAAATCTACATTAAGGATAGTCATGGAGTTAACGACATCTAAATGAACGGGCGAGGGAGCACCGCACACATTTAGTTGTACAACTTTAATGCAGCTCAGTGCCTTGTTGTGATCAATCCGCTTTCAATTCGGCTATCACGCTTTCATCTTACAAACTCTGCCTGGATAATAAATTTATTAGCGATGGTCTGCAGAACCCACGACACAAATAGCCTAAGTTAGTAAGAGAAGATCTAGTATAATCTTTCGACTGGCACGATCACCGCTTCGACATGTTATCGGAGGTATTGAAGGCCACGGCTTGATGTGAATGCATACTTTATTGAGTGGTTGGCTAAACAGAAGACACCACCCATCTACAAATGATTTTGTGACCTTTACCAGAACGACGAATTGACTTCACTTCTAGGGGAATGAACAATATATTTACGAGTAAGAAGCCTGTTTACTGTATCAATCCCACTTATGGCGGTCTAACGAATGAGGGCAGCCACGATAACCTATTCCCAACCTAGCTGAACAGCTATCAATTTCGAGGCGTCGGAGTCGCAGCGTTGATGACAAGTCTTGCCTACAATAAATGGAAATATATATGGAGAAAAAATTCGAAGATAAAAGAATTAACACCAAGAGCCGTTTATTGCTTGCGAGCAAGTGTTTTTTTTTTTATATTCCAAGGGCAATATTAAAGCAATGGCAGGTCGAAGTTATTTATTTACATGGCAACGTTCGGCCCAATGCCCCATGATTCGTAAAAAAAAAACATATTTGGAAATGCTCAAGTGGGATATACTATCGGAACCATAGTATTAAGTGGACATTGCTCCTGGTCTCTAAAGGTCTAACCTATGTACAATTGGCAGTTCACCGGTAAATTTCTTACGCAGAACATCAAAATTGGCTCCAAACCTGTGAGGCTATTCTTGAAAGAGTTAGCCGCAATTATCGTATCGCTATCACAAGCCTGCGACTTTCATCAATCAGAATAAAATATCGGGGCTTGCTTTAAATAAAATGTTTATTCACAATAATTCCGATGTGAGATTCATATTAAGTTTTTTGACCGTTGAGAAGCGAATGAAGTCAAGTTGAAATACAGCTCAGCCAACTTGGGGATGTAAAGCGGATTTTCCTCTGCCATTTAACACTGTCATACAAATTTAGATTTGTTTATGATGTATCTTCGGTGGCTGTATTTTGTTGAGTTTCGAGGAAAATCTTCTTCAGTGATGAGGATCATTTCACGCACATGGATTTGTAAATAGGCAATATTTTCGAATCTGGAGTAATTTTTATACTGTTATAACTGCAACCATTGAGCAACCTGCATTGTACCTGCGAAAAATGACTGCTTTGATAAAAATGTGAACCAGTGGCGTCATCGGGCCGCCGTGAACGTCAATTCTCAGTCATGGCTTGGCCGTCATGAATAATAGATGTTTTTGGATCTGAAAACGACGCAGTCAGTTATGACTATATTGCTTGACAAATTTCCAGGACCATGCGATTTAACGCCTTTGGATTTCTTTATGTGAGGCTACACTGTTTTATGCCAAAATCCGACAACAAATAAAGAACAAGGTACATCAAGTTATGGGTCCAATTATTGCCGGAATTGTGTGAAAAAGTCATGCCCAATGGCATTAGATGCTGCAAGCGGTACCGTGAAAAACATTTGAATGATATTGTTTTCCACGTGTAGTGGCATAATCCAACATTTATGTATATGTATTATGATGACAAATTTCATTGAAATTTAAATATTCAGTGTGTTTTTTTTTTTTGTTTTACTTACTTTCTATTTAACTTGCTTTGTATGTATGTATGTATGTATGTAATTATGTTTGTTAGGGGCAAATATTTCAATCAGTTTGTGACCAACTTCCCGATGATCTAGAGACTTGAAACAAATATTTATGATCCGATTTCGTTCATATTTAGAAAACTTGCTTTAAAAATATTTGTTTTTTTATGTACTGACTTCTGTAGCTTAAGAATACCCTAGTCTAAAGAAAGCTTAAATTTTTTTGCAAATTTTGTTACATAACCTAAGCAAAAAAAAAAGAAATTCTACACTTTGCCTGTACTACACATATAACACAAGTACATGTATGTTCAGAGTATAGTACTTACAATATCCAAAGCGTTAATTGTTGTATCGTCACGACTAGCAGCTAAACAACCGTCTTCTAGTCCTCCATCACACATTCCTGTAAACAATGGAAAACCAATAATTAAGTAAATGAAATTTCCATTAGCATACGCACACGCACAAACACACACATCAACTGACCTTGAAATGCAGCCATAGAACGCGCCGCACGCAAAAACATTAACAAATCGCCATCGGCCACAATGCCAGGACTCCATCTTGATTCTTCTAGTTCGCGTTCGTCGCTCTCTTTGTCAACAGGGAAGCTTGAAATTGGATTATAATCGGGCAATTTTGCCTTTTGTGTCCATAAAACAATTTCACAATTAGTAAAACTTATATGCATTTTGTGGATTGGTTATTTATTTAAATAACTAAAACACTCTTCTCTAAGTGATTTATGTTCGTAGAATTTTATAAGTTTTTTATTTTATTTTTATTTTAGTTTATTTACATCTTTATTATTATTACTATTATTATTGTTATTGATTAATGGTTTTCTTGGTTTATTATACATTACTATTTTTTATTATAATTATCTCATTTTTACACAACACAGCAACAAAATACTCTACCATCATACAATTTAAATTAAAAAAAAAAAAAA